CACTATTAATTTCTCCTAAATACTTTTATTCTTATCCTTGTTTCACTTAAGTTTTAAGGCACAATTATTAGCTTATATCCAACAATTTCATATATGCAGGAACTCTTTAATGGACTTCATAGAACCAGTCATGAATATTGTGAAGGATGTTGTACCTATAGCTAAGAAATATTTCAACTATCAGATACGTCACAATGATTATGTGAATGAATTCAAAGAAAAGCAAAAACAGCTGAAGCGCCGACGGCAAGACGTTGAAGAAGAACTGCATGCTCAACTTACGAAGCCAGGGAAGATTGCAAAGAAGGAAGTTCAAGCTTGGCTAGAGAAAGCAGACCAAGAAACTGCAGAAGAAGTGATTGAAGATCTAATCTACAAAGGGGGCTTTTTGACATATATTTTCTCCTCAAGAAAGCTCGATGAAAGGACTCAATCACTGACTGAAGGAATATTTAAGCAAGGAGAAAAGTACACTAGTGCTGATGAGAGTTTGGTTGTAGATACTCCCTCAACTGAGTATTGGGCAACTGTATTTGAAAAAAAGCAGGAGAGGCTAAAGCACCAAAAGGAAGACATTGAAGCAAATTTGAAGACTCAGCGTATGCAACCTGGAAAGATTGCAAGGAAGGAAGTTGAAGAGTGGCTAGAGAAAGCAGGCCAACAGATTGGCATAAAGGTTGAAGATCTGATCAGCCAAGGGGAATGTTCCTCTCCATCCAACCTCAAGAGAAAAATTGAAGAATCGAAGCAAATACTTGAGCAAGGAAAAGAATTCACTAATGCTGGTGTGATTTTAGTCAGAGATGATCACTCAATCAAAGGATTTCCACTTCTCGTTGAAAAATATAGTGGCAGGGATGATATACAAGAAGAAATTCTGGAATGGTTGAAGGGAGACAAGGTTGCAAGAATTGCAGTTTTGGGAATGGGTGGTGTGGGCAAGACAACAATTATGAAGAATGTCCACAACCAACTGTTGATTGAATCCAAATTTGAGAATGTTATTTGGGTAACAGTGTCAAAAGACTTTAACATTACTGTCCAGCAAAAAATGAAGTTTGATATTCTCCAGTTTCAGAAAAAGATTGCAAGTAGCTTGAAACTAGAACGAGAGCCAGATCATGAGAATGAAACCAAGCTTGCTGCATTGATTTCACAAAGGTTGGGGCAGAGCAGCTTCCTGCTAATTCTGGATGATGTGTGGGAGCCTTTTTCTCTAGAAGATGTTGGAATTTCTAATCCAGTTGGAAATAATGGTTGCAAGTTAGTGCTCACGACACGGTCAAAAGATGTTGCTCGTGCAATGGATTGTAATGTGATCCATGTGAACCCTCTTCCACATGAAGAAGCATTAGAATTATTCTCGGAGAAAATTGGAAGTGATGTGTTTTCAGATGGCAAAATTAAAAGAGATATAGAGCCATTTTTGAAGCAGATTTTGCAGAAATGTGATGGAGTACCCCTTGCTATTGTGACAGTGGCAAAATCAATGAAAGGGAAATTACTTCCTCGTCATTGGAAGTTGGCACTTTCTGAATTCAGTAAATTTGAAAGCATTATTGATTGTTTGAAATTCAGTTATGAATGCCTAGAACCACAATGCCAAGAGTGTTTTCTATACTGTGCATTGTATCCTGAAGATGCTAAAATCAGAAAGGAGGAGTTAATTGAGTATTGGATTGAGGAGGGGCCTATATATAAAGAAGGGAAAACTAGGGAGGCAATGAATTGGAAGGGTCATGATATACTCGATAAGCTAGTTGACAACTGCTTGTTGCAATCGGTTAAACATAGTGACTTCGGAGAATGTGTGAGTATGCATGATCTTCTCCGAGAAATGGCACTGGAAATCAGTCCTCAATTCTTGGTGAAAGCCGGCATAGCCTTGGAGAAGTTACCAGAGGAGCATGAATGGAGAGAAAATCTTTTGAAGGTTTCTTTAATGGGGAATCACATAACAGAAATTCCTTCAAGCATGCCGTCTCCAAAGTGTCCTATGCTCACAACCTTGCTGTTGTCTGGTAATAAGATTTCAACAATTCCAGAAGCCTTTTTTGAGCATATGCTTGGGCTCAAGATCCTTGATCTTTCTTACAATCGTCAGCTAAGTAGGCTGCCGAGTTCTATCTCCAAATTGGAGAAGCTTACTACATTATTGCTATTGGGATGTAAGTCCTTAAGAGAGGTACCAGCATTATCCAACCTTGTAGGGTTAAAAAAGTTGGACCTTTCCGACACATCAATTGAAGAACTACCGCAAGGCCTCAACATGTTAACAAATCTAAAATATCTTGGTCTTGTTGGAAGATTATCTGAAACTCTTGATGAACCGCTACAAAATCTCTCCAAACTTCAGCATTTACTAGTAACTGCCAATCGCCATGCCGAAACAAAATTTAAATGGGAGACGATTGGAATTTGGGGGAAGCTTCAAAACCTTGAGAAGCTGCATCTTGATTATTTGCATAACTTGAATATGGTGTTTGGGGAAGTAGGAGCAATTGCAGAGTCAGCATCGCTACCAGCTGGCACATTTTCCTCTCTTCAAGATATTAGTGTTTGGCGATGTGATAAAATAAAGAAGTTATGCTCGGTTAGGTGGCTGGGATATCTCCAGAAACTACAGACTGTTGAGGTTGGTTATTGTGACCAACTGGAGGAGATAATAGGGTCTGAATCTAAAGAAGGAGAAAAAGTCGCTCTACCCAACTTAGAAAGGTTGGAATTGGCAGATTTGCCCTTATTGAAAACCATCTATAGCGGTTCTTTGATTTGTGATTCCATCAAGAAGATTGAAATTTCTGGTAGTAAACATATAGAGAGTGTTTTTTGGTCCGGGTTCAACCTACTTCCAAATCTTGAATATCTATTCCTTTCTTGTTTAAAGAATTTGAAATCCGTGTTTGATGAAGAAGGTTTTGGTTTATCGCCACGTGTACCTCCCACAAGCTTTTTCTCTCTTAAAGAAATTAGGGTTACTGATTGTGGTCAATTAAAGAAGGTATTCTCATCCAGATGGCTGCTCTGCTACTTCCAATCTCTAGAGACTATTGAGGTGTCAAGTTGTTCGCAAATGGAGGAGCTGATATCGTCATCGGCACATGAAGAAGAAAAAGTCACTCTACCCAAGTTAGAAAGGTTGCAATTGACAGAGTTGCCCTTATTGAAGACCATCTGCAGCAGCTCCAGTGTGTTGATTTGTGATTCCATCCAGAGTCTGACGATTTACCACTGTGAGAAGCTAAAGAGGATTCCTCTGAATTTTCCCTTGCTTGATAATGCCCAATCATCTCATCCTCCTTCCCTCATTCCCAAAGAAATTCGGGTATTCCCAAAAAAATGGTGGGAATCATTGGAATGGGACCATCCCAATGCAAAAGACATCCTTTTCCCCTTCTGTGACTTTCGGCCATGGTGGGAGTACATACATTGAATGTAATCTTTTAAACTTCAATTTTCCATTTTTGATTCAACTCAGGATGAGTTTTCCATTCTTACTAAATCTCTCTCTCTCTCATCTATTCTTTTCTCCCCCATTGGCAGCAATTGGGATTCGGCTCGGTAACCACAAGAAAGTTGGAGGAAATCACATATGCACTAGTTGTTGTTGCTATCGGGTTTTCAATGTAATATAAACTTTGTTTTTCTTTTGCTGTGTGTGTTGTGTGTTTAAATATGTCCAATTTTAAGTGGAAAACTAGAAATGTTTGTTTCTTTATTGTCTTTGTAATGTTGTCTTTGAAACTGTGTAGGAAAAAGACTTGAAACTGTATTTGCTTTTCTTGTAATATGTATTTCAATTTATTGCATTTGCATATCTCAAATTTCATTCAGCAACATTATCATCATCAACAAAAACCGAGACTTACTTTCATCAACAATAGCGGCACACTCTGTTACTTTATATATTCTCAGAATTGCCCAAGGACTAGCATTCAGGTCAGAGGACACTTCTTTTCTCTTTTTGCCTTTTTTTTGTCTCTTTTCTTTTTTTTTGTGCATCATCAACATTAAACTGTATTTGCCTTCTTTTTCATCAACATTAGGTTCACTTATTTAAAAAATTTAGTAGTGTAACTATGAATCATGCATTACCTATTGCGTGCTACCTTCTGTTTACCTTAGGGGATT